AGGATCTCAAGTTTAAGTCAACCTCAGGAATTTAGCCAGACCCTGTCTCAAAATAAAAAAAATAAAAAAGGCTGAAGACGTAGCTCAGTGGCAAAGCACTCATGAGTTCAATATCCAGTACAAAAAAAAAAAAAAAAAAACCAGTTACATGTAACAGAAATGATTAATGTTTAAATGTTTACAGGTCCCACCCAGAGACATCCCCAACACTGTTTTCTGTCTTAACAAACAAGTGGTTGGAGAAAAGTCCTCCTTGTCAGAGGAAACTAACTTAATTTTCTCTTCTTGGACTTCAGGAGAATGAGATTCCTTCTCCTGAGAGATGTCCCTAGTTGGTGTCATATCTTTTTTTTTAATTGTTGATAGACCTTTATTTTTATTTATTTATACACAGTGCTGAGAATAGAACCCAGTGCTCACACATGCCAAGCAAGTGCACTACCACTGAGCCCCATCCCCAGCCCCTGGTGTCATATCTTAGAAATGAAAAACATCATTTTTGAATGTGGCAATTCTCCTTTAAAATAAACAAACAAACAAAAATCGAAAACGTTTAAGTTTGTGGCCTAGCGGTTGAGTGTTCCTGGGTTCAATCCCCAGTACCCCCCAAAAAATAGTTTGGAGGGGTCCTTTGCACTGCCTCAGTTTCAAGTCAAGGTTAGGGAGGACAGAGCAGATTGCCCCTAGAGGAGAGATCTTTCAGCCTTGGTTCTATAATCACTGTGCTACAATGATTTGAACATTGCCTGTTTTGTTTTGTTGTTTTGTTATGTGTCCTTGCACAAGATACTTCTTTTTTCAAATTTCTCCCTGTCAAATGAGAATAAAAAGTACATATCCTCCTTCCTTTACGAGATGTCTAAGGGCTACATGAGGTGAGGAACATATTACATTAGGTTTTTTAAAATTAAATGAATTGGGTTCAGTGTGTAATTTAGAGATAGAGCGCGTGTCTAGCATGCACAGGCTCTGGGTTCAATTCCTACCACTGCAAAACAAAACAAAACAATAAAATATTAAAAGTGATACATGAATATGGAGAATAGTATGAATTAACCAAAAGCAAAAAGCATGCAATTCTTCAGGAAATTGGCTCTTTTCCAAGTTTAAGGAGTTTAGACAATATATCTGATGCTTCTTTTGGATCCCAACTGTGCCTGGTGCAGAGTTAGAAGCTAGAAGCAGGGCTGGAATAGGATTAGGTGAGGCACTTGTATTGTATTTGGGTAAAATTGTTAAGGGTTGTTTCAAGAAAAAACCTCAGCAAGATGAATTATACATATATCAGCATATATATATATATATATATATATATATATATATATGTAACAGTATATACGTTTATTTTGAGACAGCCTTGCTAAATTGCTGAGGCTGGCTTTGAACTTATGATCCTCCTGCCTCAGCCTCCTGAGCTGTCTGTAGGCTTGCACTACAGCACCCAGAAAAAATATCTTGATTAGAGATAAAAGATTTTTAAATCTCCCCCCAAAACTTTCAAATTATATTTCTGGCCAGGCCAATGAGCTCTAAGAAGCAACAGATTTTATTTTAACATATAACTGTGTGATTTGGGGATTAAGTCAATTATATTTTCTAGACATCCTCAATTCCCTTCAGGATTTTTTGTTTGTTTGTTTGTTTTTTTGTTTTTGTACTAGGAATTGAACTAGAAACACTTTACCACTGAAACACATCCCCAGTTCAATTTTTTTTTTTTTTTTAAATTTTTGAGATAGGGTATCGCTAAATTGCTGAAGCTGGCCTCAGAATCGATCCTACTGAGTGGCTGGGATTACAAGCTGCACCACTTGAACCGGGCTAATGGCTACTCTTTTCCTTTCCTTCCTTCTAATGTCGGCCAGACACTGCCTTTAGGTGTTGTGTATATCGTGATGAAAAGAACAGGGAAGAGTGAGAGGGGACCGACAATAACCAAGTCAAGAGTTGACACTACTTTCAACTAGAGTTAAAACGATGAAGAAAGGAAAACAAAGTGCTATATTTAATTAAAGGAAGGGTGCCATTTAGATTTAGTAGTGTGATTAGAAGCAAGGGAGTGATGTGTCCTAAAACACTGATCCAGTATTAAAAGACTTCTAGAACTAATAGAGTGGAAGCAGGGAGGCCCCTAGAGTTGTAGATGTCCAGGTCAAACAAATGGTAATACAGAGCTCAAGGGTAGTAGTGGAGAGAAACACTGGGCCCTGGGGCTCAGCAGGAACCGAGCCAAAAAGGTGTGTTTCCCTTTAAGAGTGCGCCGCAGGGGCGGGGTTCATGACCGCTGCTGGCTAGCAGAGGGCGGCAGTTCCGAGGCGGGAAGAGCGTCCTTTGGAGTGCGCGCGCGCCAGGCGGGGGTGGGACTTAGGCGAATCCGCATGGCTAGCTCAGGCCCCGGATGAGGAAGTGCGGGGGAAGGGGGGAAACCATAGAGACGGAGAGGCGGTAGCGGCCGGAGCGCCCACTGGCTCTCGGCTCCGTAGGCTCAAGTAGACTTGGCGGCAGCGRGGCTGTGTCTGCAGAGGCCAAGCTGGCGGGGCAAGCACCGGCCGGAGATCAGGCCTCAGGGTAAGAGGCCCGTGGTCGGAAGGCTTCGGGCATAGCCGCTCCGCCCCACAACGCCCTGCGGGAACCCTCCTTCGGGCGGTGCTGGCAAAAGGGGAGCCCGGCCCCCGCCTTTCGGGGCGCTGAAGCAAGCGGAGGCTACGCTGCGGGCGGCCAAACGACCCAGAAAGAGGGAGGAGACTAGGGCCTGCGTCGCTAGGGGAAAAAGGCTTCTCCGAGTCATGGCTGCAAAGGGGGAGAGAGACTGCTTTGCAACCCAGATCGGAGGGGATCCCCTAACTTCTCTTCTTCGAAAGGCTGACGCCCCTTGTGGGCGTACAGTCCTTCTTGGTTCTGGTCTGTTAGCGGTGGGGGACTCACTCCCAGGGTGCGAGAGGGGATTCGAACATAAGGAAAGATGGGGGTAACCCCCAAATGAGAACGTTCWCTCCACTTTGTCAGTGTCGTTCAGGTGAAGAGGGAAATTTTCCACTTCCCGAAAGTATTAGAAAGGGTCTACCTTCCCTGTAAGTTTAAAAAGTCTTGACTTCCCTTGTCCATTTTTTTCCCTTTATCCCAAGATATAGAGAGGAAGACCCTGAKTTAAACTTTATGGTATCAGAAATCAGCTTTTTCTCCCCCTCCCCCAATCATGACCAGAGAGGGAGCCTTGGTTTTCTTCTTCCCTTTTGGTCTCTTAGTGTGCAGTGATCTCTTTCTCCTTTGCACAGTGAAGCTCATGGCTTTTAGGGGCTGGGGCTGTAGGTCAGTGGCAGAGCACTTGCATTGGGTTCATCACATTAAAAAAAAAAATTGAAACATAAAATAGAAACATGCTGACCATCTACAACTACCCCCCCAAAAAAAAAATTCATGGCTTTTAGATCGTGATAGTTGCAAAGCCTCTCCCATCTAACATCTTTGTGACCTTGACTCATCCCTTAACTTCTCAGATCATTTCGAATTTGGGTTACTCCTTTTTTTTTAACATCTAAGGGAGAATTTGTGTTAATGCTTAGTATRTAGTAATTTTTTGGCAAATTGTTACTGTTAATTCGTTAAGAAAGAAAACTGGTACTGGGTAGAATGCTTCACTGCATGCACAATGCCCTGGATTAAATCACCAGCACCAAAAAAGAAAATAAATATCTTGCCCAAAGAAGCAGGTGATTGCATACATCTACCTCACTATCACCACCAATCAAAAGTATTCAATACCTATCCGCTGGAGAGGAAGACTTTTTTCCCCACCCCAGGATGGAGAAAGATGTACCTTCCACTCCCCTCAGATCCTTACAATGCTCTAAATTAACAAAGAAGGCCTAGCTAAAAATAATCGGGGAAAAAAAACTTAGTTTTTTGAAACAGCTCAGTACCCACTTAGGGAGACTGATGCCAAATGTCACCCTTTCCTTTGTGCACATAAGCTGTCACTTCTTCCTGAGTGATTAGAGATGTCTTTTTCCATTCCCCTTACTTGCTCTAGTGTCCAAAATAACAAAACAAAACAAAAAAACCCGCTTTCTCCTCACAGCCTCCCTTTCACACATCTGCCAATAGGATGATTCTAATTTCTTTTTTGTGTGTTTTCCCAAGAAAAATTCGAGACTACTCTTTTTTCCTTATCTATCTAGTGTGGTATAAATGGTTTCTTTTCTCCTCTTCCTTTGGAAAATAGATATCTTTTATGCAGGGAGTCTTTGTCAGTAGAAATCAGGAGCATTTTCACTGTCTGATTCTCCATGTGGAGACAGAGGGGTCCTTTTTCTGCATGCTAATAAAGGAAGGAAAAGGGAAATAGTGGTTGATGCTTTTGAGGTTTCCTGCACATCCCCTGTTGAGCTGGGCCCTATTTAGTATATGTTCGACTTTGCCTAGCTTCCAATTTGTCTTGAAATCTTGTTAAAAGATCTTCTTTCTCTCTCCCTCAAGAAGAGGCCCCTTCTTGGAATTTCCTCATGGAGGAATTGGCTACAGTGTCTGAATCTTTGGAAAATAAAGCCTCTTTCCGGAAAAGGAGTGTTGTGAACTTCTGAGGGCCTGATCATTATTGTGAGTATTGTTCCTTGACACAAGCATGACAGCCCCTGGTGTTAACAGCCCTTTTGCATTGGAATTAAAGGGAGAGGAGACCTTCAGCTCCTGGATTGTTGGGGTACATAGTTTCCTGTTACGCTCTGTTGTCCCGCTCCCCCTACTTTTTGCTTTATTCCTATAAATTTTGTGCCTCCAGAACTTTTGTCTTGGGGAGTGGTGAATGAATAAAATATAAGTTGCCACTTTGTCAAAAATCATGAAATACTCTAATGAGAACTGCAACATTAATTCTTCAATGATATGTTTTGTATTTAATGTGGGATAAAAATTAACATTGCCGAATTACCTGAAGGCACACCAAAGAGAAGTTTTACATCTTTTCTGTGTGTAAAATGTTTTAAAATTACCTCAGGTGCCCTTGAGTACCTGTGAAGAGGATTAGTCTGAGCTGTGTACTACCATTGTTGATGTGTGTAGGTGTGTTTTGCTGAAACAAAGAGAAATAGAAAAGTTATCTTTTAGAGTCATGAGGTTTTTAAGGGTGGGAACCCTTTGTGATTATTTTGTTTAATTTGTTAATTTTACATGGGAAAACAAGGCTGGGAAAGTTCACTTAACTTTCACTTAGCATAATTTACTATGTAGCTGATGAATGGAATCAGAATAGGGACCCTGGCTGCCTGATTTGGGAGACCAGCAATTAGATTGCTCACCATAGTTCTTTTGCATTTGAACAAGATCAGTAGGTAATTGCTCTTAAYTCAAAAAGAATTTTTCTTTCTTTCTTTTTTCTTTTTTTAGAAAAATTTTACAGCATGCTTCATGTAAACATTAGTTAATTTGGTTTTCCCCCACAGATAAGTTKATTTCCTAATCTTACACTTTTTTATGTGTTGTGGTAAAGATGACAAGCCAGTAGCAGCTGGCAAGTGTCATTAGTAAATGGATAATTTATTTTTCTTAGACCTCAGACTAGATAATTATCTGGTATCCCCATCCAATAGGTTGATTTTTAAGTCATTAGAAAGGATTAGCTGTAAATAAATCCCTGCCTACATTTTATAAGCATGTTACTTTTTTTTTTTTAAACTTCCAAGTTTATTTAACACTTGAATGTAAAACCTTTGATGATTGAGGCAGAGAACTGTCAGTTGGGAAGATACCCAATAAAATAAAGGGCTGATACTAGTTTTTTATTGTTATGCATTTGGGTCTTGGAAAATAATAGAGAAAACATTAACAATTTATTCCCAACTGTTTTTTAAAAAAGTAAAATTTTTTAATACAACATACAGCTAAGTCATCGGTTATCTCTCCCCTAAATTAACAGTGTTAATGATTTGTGTTCATTCAAAATATTTTTCTATGTGCATATATATTTTACTAGTGAGAGTCCTGATGTTTATTTTAGTTTAGTAAAAWAAAAATATTCCAGGCAGTTTTCTATATGGAGAGATGTTTCTACATCATCAGTTTTAATTGCTGCATTGGGCTTGTAATTTTAGTTTTGTGTGTGCTCATGTGGTACTGGGTTCTATGCTCTACTACTAAGCTACCTCTCTAGCCCTTTATTATTTTTTATTTGAAACAGGTCTCACTAAGTTGCCCAGGCTGGACTCAAACTTATGATCCTCCTGCTTTAGCCTCAGGAATTTTAGTTTTTAGTACCAAAATAGTGTTCTGTTACTGCTGTTTTGTGGTACTGCCTGTATTTTGATAGATGGTGATGTGAGAGCTAGAGAGCTGACAGTAATTTTAATCTGCACTTTAGGCTTGCATCTGAATATCACTTTGCCTCTGAGGGATCCAGCTGTTCTGTTATAGTGTTTTAGTAACTTTAGATTTGGTTTAGAAATTTTTTCGGGTATGAGAATACTGGAGATTTGCCCCAGGGCACTTTACCACTGAGTATATCCCTAGCCCTTTTAAAAAAGTTTTTGAGACAGAGTCACTAAGTTACTTGAATTTGTGATCCTCCTGTCTCAACCTTCATTTTGTTGTTGTTTTTATTTGTTTGTACTAGGGATTGAACCCAGGGTTGCATCCCCAGCCCCTTTTTAAATTTTTAATTTATTTTTTTAATTTTGAGACAGGGACTCACTAAATTGCTAAGGGCCTTGCTAAGTTGCTGATGCTGTCAGTCACTAAGTTACTTGAATTTGTGATCCTCCTTCCCCAACCTCCAAAGTTGCTGTGATTGTAGGCTTTTGCCACCATGCCCCAATTGGCTTAAAAATTTGAGGACCTAGAGCTGGACTCCCAACAAAAAGGAGGGAGTGTCTACTATGCTTCCACAGCAAGTATGCCTAATTTTTTTACAGGTTGAAAATTCTTAAAATTCTATACAAATGAGTATCAGATGACGACAATTTTATGATATTTGTGTCTTTAAAACTTTAAAGTTGTGTTTTAGCCAGTGCCCATTTACAGTATAGATGCAGGCATAAGAAAGGTAAAGGCACTGTTTTCCTTGAGGAACGTTTTGTATCATTTTATATGATTATCAGTATTCATTCTTTTTGGTAATAATCTGTTTAGAAAGCTGAGCATGGTGGCACACACCTGTAATCCCAGTGACATGGGAGGCTGTGGCAGGAGGATTCAAAGTTTGAGGCCAGCTTCAGCARTTTAGCAAGGCCCTAAGCAACTTAGTGAGACCGTGTATGTGTGTGTGTGTGTGTGTGTGTGTATATATGTGTGTGTGTGTATATATATATATATATATATATATATATATATGTTTAGTAAATATGTAGTTGTGCATGACTTTATGTGGCATGACCTTTGGAAGAAAATCTTGAAGTAGTACTTGGGGATTAGAAACCAGTAGGGTTTAGCCAGGCAGAGTGGCACATGCTTGTAATCCCAGCAGCTCAAGAAGCTGAGACAGGAGATTCACAAGTTCAAAGCCAGCCTCAGCAAAAGCAAGACACTAAGCAGCTCAGTGAGACTGTCTCTAAATAAAATACAAAATAGGGCTGAGGATGGGGCTCAGTGGTCAAGGGTCCCTGAGTTCGATCCTTAGTACCAAGAAAAAAAAGAAAAAAAGAAAGCTGTAGAGTTTATTAGAGACACTATAGGMGTTGAAGCCATAGTTTGTGTTACGCTAGTTGTGTAAAAAAAATTGAGTCTGAGCTCTAGAAAAGTGATACTGATGTTGAGAGGCAATTGTAGGGGCTGGTGTGTAGCTCAGTGATGGAGCACCTGCTTAGCATGAACAAAGCCCTTGGTTGAATAGGGTGGGGGAGGAAACAAGGAAGGAGAGACCACGTAATATACTGAGGGCATCTTATTCATCTTTGTTTCTTGCAGCTGTTTGCATGTAGAAAGACTCAATTATTCTTTTGATTAAACGGGCTCTATTATAGACATATGTGTGGGGGGGTACAGGTTCTATCCTTCACGAGTGAAATGTAGGTCAGGAATTGAGAGTTGACGGATTGGGGATGGGGCATTTTCTTTATCTTTTTTTTTTTTTTTCCCCATGCAGTTTTAGGGATCCAAGTCAGGATCTTACGTGCTCCGCATGTGCTCTACGTTGAGATTATAATCCTAGCTTTTTATTTTTTCCCCCCAGTGCTGGAGATGAAACCCAGAGCCTCCTGCATACTAGGCAATCACTCTACCACCATACTATATCCCAAGCCCTTTTATATTTAAGACAAAGTAGCCAAGACTTGAATTTGTAACCCTCCTGCCCCAGCCTCCCAAGATGCTGGAATTATAGGCGTGTGCCACCATGTCCAGCATCCCCATCTGTTTTTAAAAATCAGTTGTATTAAAAAATAATTCACAGCTGGAGTGAGGTRGTGCACACCTGTAATCCCAGAGACTGAGACAGGAGGATTGCAAGTTCAAAGCCAGACAGCCTCATCAATGGTGAGGCACTAAGCAACTCAGTGAGACCCTGTCTCTAAATAAAATGCAACACAGGGCTGGGGATGTGGCTAAATGGTTGAGTGCATCTGAGTTCAATCCACAGTATCAAAATATATATGTGTGTGTGTGTCACATGAGCTGGGATGTAGCTTTCATAGGCCTCAGGTTAAATCCCCAGCAGTGCCAAAAAAAAAAAAAAAAAAAAAAAGATAATTTACATATCATAGAATTTACCAATTTAAATTATACAAATCAGTAGTTTTTAGTATAATCACCTTTTTCAATTTTAAACATTTTTATTACTTTAAAAAGAAAGTGTCCATTAGCTGTCAGTCCCTAGTTATCCAACACTCCCAGCTGTAAGCAACCATCAATCTATTTTGTCTTTATAAATTATATATCCTTTTTTGTGTGTGCATGTGGTGCTGGACATCAAACCTAGGGCCTCCTTCATGCTAAGGAAGCCCTGTACCACTGAACTAAATACCTAGCCCTACCTTTTTCCATTCTTGACGTTTTATATAAATGGGATTCTATAACATGTGGTTCTTTATGTTTATTTCAATTATCATAGTGTTTTCAAAGTTTATTTGTGTTCTAAACTGAATTAATACTGCAACCCCACCCCCAACCCCAGTACTGGGGGAATGGAGTGCTTTACCATTGAGTTAAACTCCCCCACCCTTATCTATCTATCTATCTATTTATTTTTGGTACCAGGTATTGAACTTGGGCACTCAACCATTGAGCTATTGAGCCATATCTCCAGCCCTGTTTTGTATTTTATTTAGAGACAGGGTCTCACTGATTTGCTTAGCTCCTCACCGTTGCTGAGGCTAGTTTTGAACTCCTGATCCTCCTGCCTCAGCTTCCTGAACTACTCGGATTACAAGCGCATGGCAACACACCCAGTTTGAGATTGTTTTGAGGCAGGGTCTGTCTTTCTGAATTGCTGAGGTTGGCCTTAAATTTGAGCTCCTACAGCTTCTGCCTCTGATATAGCTGGGATTATAGGCATGTACCAACACACCCTTGTGGGCATGCGCTTTTCATTTGTTTTGTTTTGTGGTAATGGGGATTGAACCCAGGGTCACTCTAGCACTGCGTATATCCCCAGCCATTTTAAAAAATTTATTTATTTTTGAATAGGCTGTTGCCTACAGAGGCCTAAAACTTGTCATCCTCCTGCCTTAGCCTCCCAAGTGGGAGGCTACAGAAATGAGCCCATAATTATGCCTGGCTGACAAACTTGAGCTTCACGGTATCCTCTCCTGCAATTATTCTTCCAATCTGTATGTAGTCTGACATCCAAAAATTAGATTGGGTATGTTGTTGGGGAAAGGAAGCTGAACCAAGTTAAATTTRGGCACTTCCTGCTTATTTTGACATCAAATAATAATTCCATTTTATCTCTACTAATTCTCCTTATCCCGACATAAATGACCTAATATCTGAAGTACCCCCAGAAATATCCAGGTRGTAGATTAAAAGGGGAAAATCTTAACTCTAAAAGGGATAAATTTATCACAGCACGTTGAAAGTCTTTCACATGGAGAATCTCATTTGATTCTTTTTTTATAATTAATTTATTTATTCTAATTAGTTCATTTGATTCTTGCTGTACTTCTTTACACAAGTTTGTGTGCTAATTTTTTGTATTCAAAATACATATCTTTTTTATCAGCCCTCCTGCATTACCTAAATTTCATGGACTGGCAATCTGATTTCTTTATAATTTCTAGTGTTTGAATTAGTAATGTAGCTTTATGTCATTTTGCCTCTGGGGAGGGTTCCTTAACACTTATATTCTCCTTCCTTTAGTTTAGGGTTAGGAAAAGCATCAAGAATCAAAGTGTGGCTGGGGTTGTGACTCAGTGGTACAGCGCTTGCCTGGCATGTGTGAGACACTGGGTTTGATTCTCAGCACCACATATAAATAAATAAAAAGAAAGAAAGAATCCAAGTATCTTATTTGGTGAACCAATTTCTGCCTCGGTCAAGTCAAAGTGGATTTTGGTGGGGTGGTGCTGGGGATTGAGCCCAGGGCCTTGTACATGCGAGGCACGTACTCTACCAATTGAGCTATATCCCCATTCAAAGTGAATTTTGTTGTAAAAACTGCATATTGTTGCTGAACTAAAATTTATGGGCTGGGAAATTCTGAATATGTTTGTATATGTGTGTGTGTTGACTCTTTTTGTAATATAGTATAATATAGTATTGTGAATTGCTTAGGTATACATATTTCAGCAAATTACCTGTTTCTAGCATCCAAAGCAAAAAATGATAAAAGCCAAAAAGGATCTAGGTGTGGTGGCACACACTTGTGAGCTCAGCTACTACAGAGACTAAGGCAGGAGGATGGCAAGTTTGAGGCCAGCCTTGGCAGTTTAGCAAGACTTTTTCTCAAAAGTAAAAATAGCTGGCGGTATAGCTCAGTGGTAGAGCACTTGCCCAGGGACTGGGTTAGGAGTATCTTGTGCTAGCCTACTAAATACAGCTCAAGTATGTAACAAACAGTAAAGGAAAATAGTTCCATTTTCCTTGTATCCTCTTTCAAAGAAAAGAGTTTTATCAGAGTCCTTCAGAATACCTACAACATAAAAAAAAGAGTACCTACAATGTATCATACTTCTATTCTGACAGTGGGAATATATCAATGAACAAAATGGGTGAGATTCATGCCCTGAAAACAAATATAAAACCATACTGTCTTTCTTTTTTAGAGGCAAGCTCTCTACCATTGAGCAACATTCTTAGTTCTTTTGTAGTTGTTTGAGGCTGGATGTCACTAAGTTTCCCAAGCTGACTTCAACCTCGAGATTTTCATATTTCAGCCTCTTGGGTAACTGGGATTACAGGCAGTGCCACCATGATTGGCAAAAAAAAGAAAAAAGAAAAAAATTTATTTTGTAAATTGTATCAACATTATTCTTAGATGCATAAACATGTCTTATTTTCAGGTACACTTGTGGGCCCTTCAGATTTAAATTTATAATTATTGAGAAGTCAGTATTTGAATTAGGATTAGACAGGTGCCTATTAAAAGTTAAGGTATGTATTTTTCCACAAATTTGGTGTCAGATAATGCTGGCATTTGAAGTAGAATTTATTTTTCTTATTTTAGCCAATATGAACTGAGTCAGCTTCTACCCTATCAAGGTTTTAAACTTGTGTCCTTTCCTTTGATTTATGTCAGGGTGAACTGTTTGATGTAAAAGACTTCACTCCATAATCTACATCTGCCCTAATGCTGTCATCCGGAGTAGAGACTCAGCCAGTTCCACTTGATTCCTCCATGTCTGCCGTGGTACAGGAATTATACTCTGAACTCCCAGTAAGTGTCTCCAAAGAGCTTCATGCACACCCTGAGCCAAGTGTGAATCCACATGTAAAGCTTGGAGCTTCTAGCTCTTTTATAAGTTAGAGTAGAATATTGCCCTTGAAGCTTCACAGGACTCATGCAGAAAGTTATCAAGAAACCTGTAAGACCTTGGATCATGGGGGTGAGCTTGGGTGGTGTGGTTTGGTAGACCCCAAAACAGGAGATTCTATGGCTTCTGGGATCTTGCATAGGGAAGAGAAAGCCAAGAGTATGGAGCTAAAGGTCTTCAGAGATCAAGGGAACCAAGTGGAAATTATGAGAGAGACCTGTGAGGGAGCAAAGGAAGACCTATACAAACATTCCACATCTGCTGAAGAAAATATCAGCACAAGTCAGGTAAGAAATGACATCTTGATCAGATGAGTTGACTATGAATGACAGCTTTGCAGAATACCATTTCTCAGATTATGACTTATCCTTGAAACATTTCTAAAATATTAATTGATATTAACTTTCTTGTGATGATATTGAAAAAACATTTTTGTCACATGAGACACTTAGTCAAAAAAGAGTGACTCTTGTGTAAAGCAACCATTGTATACTGTATATCACAGCCATTGTATATGGAATGTTGAGTCCCTGAAAATCCTGTGATATTTCTGCATCTGATGTTAAAAAATGAAGTATAGCTACTGGACACAGTTGCACACACTTGTAATCTCAGCTACTTGGAGGAGGATCAAAAGATTGGGGCCAGCCTGGGCAACTTAGTAAGACCCTGTCTCAAAATTTAAAGGGGCAGGGGGAGTGGGTTGGGGATATAGGTCACTGGTTGAGCACTTTGGGTTCAATCGCTGGTTCTTTCATGGGGAGGGCATTGGAAAGACAATTCTTCATTTAATACATAATGAAAAGTTGACTCATTACTTGATAGGAATGGTCATATGTGGGAGACCAACCTTACACGTAACTGAGTCACACTCCTCTGCTGGGTGCTGAGGCGCTCAGTCACAGAAATGTGGCAGAGCTTTCCCCACCCTTCTTGGGTTCGAGGGTGGGTGTCTCATGCATGGGTGTGTCTTGCTACAGCCCCTGCTCACCTGTTCCTTTGTGATATAACCCCTTGCCCTGTTTAGGATAGAATCTTCCATGGAAGTGCCTTGTATGTGTCCCCTTCTCTTACTGTGCCCTTGGGTGTGGCCTACCCAGGTGTCAGTCAACCTGCTGACAGTGGACATCATGAAGATAGACTCAGCCCCTGAAACCTGACCCCTTGCCTCATTTGAATAGCTTCTATTCCTGTGCTCTTGCTCTCTCTCTTCCTGGGGACCCTTAAGGTCAGAGGAGCCGTCACAGCAACCCCAAAGAAAAAGGTATTTGTGTCACTTGTGTGGTTATTTTGTGCAGACCAGTCAGCCCAGTTCAACTGGAGTAAACCCTGAGCCTTTTAGACTCGAGAACAGAAACCTGGCAGTCATACTGACTGATCAGCATGTCTTCTCCCTGTAGGAAGCCTACATGGGAAATCAAATTTCTGTGAGCTTGAAATTTGAATAGAATGTTTAGTTAAATGAGATGATGGTTAGTGAGCTGTGGAATGTGATGGACTGAGATTCCTCAAGAAATATACATGCCACGTGCACTAGAAAACTTTTTTTTGCCGCCGCCCCCCCCACCCCAGTACTGGGACTGAACTCAAGGGTGCCCTACCTCTGAGCTACATTGCCAGCCCTTTTTAATTTTTGAGACAGTGCCTTGCTAAGTTTCTAAGGTTGGCCTAAATTTGGGATCATCCCATGTCATCCTTCAGAGTAGCTGGGATTACAGATGTGCCACCATATCCCACCTAGAAAACTTATCTCACCTATGGATGGTGTGATAAACCAGGAGTCAGCAAACTTTCTCAWTTTTTTTTTTTTTTTTTAGTTGGCAGTGCTGGAAATTGGGCCCAATTCCACACTAAGCAAGTACTGTACCACTCAGCTATATCCCCAATCCCAGCAAACTAATCACCTGTTGTAACATTAAAGCAGGTCTAGACACTGTGCAAATGAATGAGTATGGCTGTATTCCAATGAAACTTTTTGATTTCTGTATTTTACTGAATAATTGTCAAAGATTTATGCCAAATTTTATTGTAAGAAAGTTGGGTGCAATCATTATGTGAAGCTTTTTTGTCATTGTTGAACAGTGTACTTAAAAATCATTTATTACTAAACTGTCATTGGTGCAAAACTAGTATGCATAGAATAGTTGTGAATATATGTTAAAGTGGTGGCAACAATTATATGGTAAAATATGTTTTTTGTTTGTGCCATCACACCCAACAACAACCTCCTCCTCCTCCTCCTCCTCCTCCTCTCCTCCTCCTCCTCCCCCCCTCCTCTTCTTCTTTTAGCTATAGATGGATACAATACCTTTATTTCTTTATTGCTTGTTTATTTATTTATTTATATGGTGCTAAGGATCAAACCCAGTGTCTCACATGCCCTAGATAAGCAGTCTACCACTGAGCCACAACCCCAGCCCAGCCAAACCCAACTTCTAATAAAATTATAAACATAAGTGCAGACCTGAGGGCTCTAGTTTGCTGACCCCTGCTATAAAACCATTACTAAATTAAGTCTAGCATCCTTGGCTAGACTCTATTTCCCAACTGATAAATGCATTATTTCTTTGCACAGGTTATAGAGAAATTAATTATTGTTAGGTAGAGTTTATACATTGGCTGTAATTAGTCACGAATGAAGTATTATATATTATTTCTTGATGTGATGGTCTGAGTTTAACAAAAAAATGTGTTTTTTTTTGTTTGTTTTTATGAATTACTAAGAATTGAACCCAGAGGTATTCTACCTCTTAGCTACATTCCCAGCCCTTTATTTTTTAATGAGTTTGTATATATATACATTTTTTTTTAAGTTGTAGGTGGACACAATACTTTTATTTTATTTTTATGTGGTGCTGAGGATCAAACCCAGTGCCTCATGTGTTCCAGGCAAGTACTCCCATCACTCAACTCCAGCCCCAGCCCCCCAGCCCTTTATTAAGTTGCCCAAGATGACTTCAAACTTGACTTAGCCTCCCAAGTCACTTTGTTCCACCACATCTGAAAGTAAGTGTTTCTTAATGTAATATTTGATAAAGAGCAAAAATATGTGCAATTAAATTATGACATACGGTGAACTCAAAACATGCATGCTTGTATGTGTATATGTCTATGTGAAATATATACACATAAAGTGAGCACAGTGGCTTGTGACTGAAATTCCAKCTACATAATTAGGAAGCTAAGGCAGGAGGATCTCAAGTTTGAGTCCTTCCTGGGCAATTTACAAAGACCTTGTCTCAGAATAAAAAATGTAAAATTAGGGTTGAGGATGTAGCTCAGTAGTTTTGTGTGTCCATCTAGCATGTGGTAGGGCCTCAGTTCAGTCCCCAGTATTGCAAAATGCATATACATGTTTATATATATATATCACCCAAACCTAAGAACTAGATTACTATCTCGCTATTCTTTTTTAGTTTTCGGTGGACACAACATCTTTATTTTATTTGTATGTGGTGCTGAGGATCGAACCCAGCGCCCCACGCATGCCAGGCAAGCGCGTTACCACTTAAGCCACATCCCCAACTCTCTATTCTTTTTTCAAATCATTCCCTTTCTCCTAACTCTATCAAAGGTAAATATTTTTTTAATATTTATTTTTTAGTTATAGGAGGACATAATATCTTTATTTTATTTTTATGTGGCTGAGGATCAAACCCAGTGCCTCACACATGGTAGATAAGTGCTCTGTCTCTGAGCCACAACCCCATCCCAACTATTTTGAATTATATAAAGCAAAATGAAATTTAATAGCTATAAATGTAAGATTTTCAACTTAGTTTCTAAAAGTGGGCTTCATACGTGAAAATATTTATGTGGGAAATAGAAAACCTACAGTTTTAGCAGTTCAATTAGAATTGACTTCTTGGGGGCAGAGGGCTTAGCCCAGTTGTAGAGTGCCCTGGATTAAAGCCCTAGCACCAAAAAAAAAAAAAAAGAAGAAGAAGAAAAATAAAGGAAATAGATTAACTTTGTGATCATTAACATAAATGTACTATCTGAACTGAGAAGCTAGTGGTTTTGCTATGTTTTGCTGGTTAKACCACAACTGGAGCGTCATTCTCTACTCTTAGAGTCGTGTATGAAAGATAAATAGGAAACCAGAAACTTTGGGGATAAGAATTCACACTTAAGGCATGTGGTGACACGTGCCTTGTAATCCCAGTGGCTCAGTAGGCTGAGGCAGGAAGATCTCAAGTTAGAGATCAGCCTCATCAATTTAGTAAGGCCCTAAGTCTCACTTGGTGAGACCCTAACTCAAAATATACAAAGGGCTAGGAATGTAACTCAGTGTTCAATGAGAAAACTTGAGCTGGGGGTAGTTGCTCATGCCTGTTTTCCCAATAACTTGGGAGGCTGAGGCAGAAGAATGGCAAGTTCAAAGCCAGCTTCTGCAATTTAGGGAGACCTCATCTCAAAGAAAAAAAATAAAGGACCAGGCTCGGGCTGTAACTCAGTGATAGAGTGCTTGCCTAGCATGTGTCAGGCACTGGGTTCAATCCTCACTACTACATAAAAATAAACAAATAAAATAAAGGCATTCCGTCCATCTACAAATACAAAAAATAAATAAATAAAGGATCAAAAATTCTGCCCATCTACGACCACGATAAATAAATAAATAAATAAATAAATAAATAAATAACCAAAAATGTAGTTCACAGGTGGAGCACAATCCCCAGTACCACAATAAATAAATAAATAAACAAACAAACAAAYAAATAAATAAATAAATAAAAGGGATAATCCTTCCACTTTTTATGTTTATAGTCAGGATTAAAGATGAGGAAGGCTCCTTATCTTGTGGCTAGAATTTGATTGGCATTCAATCACATTCCACATTCAGGCTGGATTGCTGGGTATCTGACTTATGAAAGTAAATAGTCAAGAGAATTGGGAGAAG